GGCTTGACTACTAGATGCTATCAGTACTTGGCTGGCCCATCTCTAGAGGGTATTTTTAATATATCCCCTTAGAACCTGTTGTTGAGATTGGCCTGTATCTGAGATTCCCCTATGGCAAGACCTTCCTCTTTACCCTTCCCTTCTTCTTTACTTTAATCACTCTTCTCCCCCCCCCCTTTTATTTTTCCTCCTTCACCGTTCTTGAGAGGACCCTTTTTCTTATTTTTAATATTAAAGGTTGCTTTATGATGTGAAGCCAATGCCTTTTCACTTGGCACAGCCTGGCCTGATTTTTATGGTCTTACACAGGGGTGGGCAAACTTTTTGACTTGAGGGCCGCAATGGGTTCATATATTGGAGCAAGAGTAGATGAATGATGTGTATGTGTCATCCATAGTAAGTATAGTAATATTCCCCCATAGTAAGCATAGTAATTAATCCCCCATATAGTAATTCATCCCCCATATAGTAATTCATCCCCCATAGTAATTCATCCCCCATAGTAATTCAAGCCCCCATATAGTAATTCATCCCCCATATAGTAATTCATCCCCCATAGTAATTCATCCCCCATATAGTAATTCATCCCCCATAGTAATTCATCCCCCATAGTAATTAATCCCCCCATATAGTAATTCATCCCCCATAGTAATTCATCCCCCATATAGTAATTCATCCCCCATAGTAATTCATCCCCCATAGTAATTCATCCCCCCCATAGTAATTCATCCCCCCTATAGTAATTCATCCCCATATAGTAATTCATCCCCCATAGTAATTCATCCCCCATAGTAATTCATCCCCCATATAGTAATTCATCCCCCATAGTAATTCATCCCCCATAGTAATTCATCCCCCATATAGTAATTCATCCCCCCTATAGTAATTCATTCCCCATATTAATTCATCCCCCATATTAAGTCCCCAAGTCCCCCCTGTGTCAATTCACTTACCTTTGCTCAGCGCGTTCCTCTCGCCGTGTTCCCGCGCCGTTCCGGTCTTCAGGGACGTGAGAGCCTAGCTCCCCTCACGTTCGTCACGCTGCCCCGCCTACACACATCCTGACAGCCATCCTGACAGTATCACGCTCCGCGGGCCGGATTAAAAGGTCCGCCGGGCCGTATACGGCTCGCGGGCTGTAGTTTGCCTATTGCTGGTCTTACATCTGGTCAGCATTCCTAGTGTGCGACCTCTTCTTTTCTTTTAATATGGCATACTCATCTTAAGGGCAGCTTTCTCTGAACTGTATTGTACAATTATCAAAGCAATATACATAATGAGACTTAGGCTTCACAGCATTACAAGCAAATTTATCATATTGAAATGGACCGTAATTGTAATTTTGATATACAGTATTACTGTCACTATGGAGACCTCTGCGCAGGTCCAAGACTTCACCTCACTTTATGCAAACTGTTTTTATTGCTGCCTATGCAGCCTAATCTTGTATGTTTGCTATTAAGGTATCAATACAACTCTTTTGGGACTAGAAAAATAATAAACTTGCTATCAGGATCACCAGGTAAAAATAGAAGAAAGAAAACCTAAAAAAGAAAACTAATCAATCACCACATCTATGAACTGGTAAGCTGCAATATAATAAATGTTTGCTTTTGGGTTTAATTCCGCTATAAGGCCTCCGTATCTAGTAGGTTGACCACTTCTGATTTATGGATTTGGGAAAAAGTAAAGATGCAAAATAAACATTCACATGCAGGTATGTAAGCATGTAGGATGCAAAACTGACTACAGTTCCCAGTAATACACAGTTCGGCTAAAAAGCTTCCTCTGAAGAGAAGCCAGACATTCAGGGAAATCAGAAGACATTTTCTTGCAATAGTATTTTTTGTTTAAAAGTCCTGTAGAGAAGGAAACACAGAAAACAAGAACAGTGCACACACACAAATCAACACAATGACACATCAATATCAAATAAGCAGTGGATTAATATACATAGGTTGAAAAAATATAATCTACAGGCCAGGGGCGGACTGACAACTCATGGGGCCCCCGGGCAATAGGGGATCATGGGGCCCCTCTGTCCTTGCCCAAACTCAAAAAAGCCCATGAAAAAGGTACCAGGGGCATCTCATGGGGCCTCCTACTGACCCCGGGCCCTCGGGCAGTGCCCAAGTTTCCAAATGGTCAGTCCGACCCTGCTACAACAGGCAAGAAAGAGTAAAAATGTACACTCAACATAAATTAAAATGATGATAAAAAGAAATAAAATGATAAGGCCTAAGGTGAATTTAAAGTGATACTAAAGTTTCCTTTTTTTAAAAAAATAACATACATAACAGGTCATACTTACCTGCTCTGTGCAGTAGTTTTGCACACATTTGCCCCGATCCTCTTCTTTTCGGGTCCCCTGCTGGTGCTCTCACTCCTCCTCCTCGAGCAGTTTCCCCAGGGAAATCTACATGCCCTGGGGGCACCGCTACATGCTTGCTCCCAAATCACTGCTGTATGCGTCCATAAGACACATAGAGCCTTGGCTTGGACCTGCTCCCTGTGCTCTCCTTATTGGCTCACTGGCTGTGACTGACAGGAGTCAATGGGCTTCTGCTGCTGTCTCAGCCAATGAGGAGGGAGAGTCCCCATACAACCGATGCTATTGTGAACATCGCTTGGTCGGAGGGGGCTCAGGTAAGGATCGGGGGGAGGGGGCGCGCTGCACACAGAAGGTTTTTTACCTTCATGCATAGAATGCATGAAGGTAAAAAACTTTGAGCCTTTACAACCACTTTAATGAAGGGGTATTTAGTAATGTACATATAGCGCCCTCCTCTAGCTAGTTTGTTAGGCTAAATTTCGTTTTTGGCCTCACTATAAACAGTGAAATAGTGGTCTGTTATGTTTGTCTGGTGAGGATTTCCTAAGCTGAGTTAATGGTTTTCCCCTACCTGCTTCTTAGAGATACTTCCAGAATATAGAGAAGGGAGGAATCAAGTATCCAGCAATGAATATGTATCATGCCTCAGCCAATCCCTGGAAGGAGGCAACCAGAAGGTGGCTGGAGAGGTGATAAATGTTTGGGAGGCATTTCCAGAGGTGTTCTTTCTCTGCTAGGAGGGTTCCAGTTCTCCACTGGGAGGCAGCTAGTGTGTGTTGAGGAATTGCAAGTTGGGTCTCAGAAGGTGCTGGGCTGAGGATCTGGAGAAGAGTACTAAAGGGATTTTTGTTGGAGGGCACTGTCCTGGAGTCCTGGTCTGGAGAAGGATTTTTTTATCTCCCTCACTGAGGAACAACCAATGGAAGCTGAATGGCAGTCAGCTCTTTGGACATTGTGAGTAAGAACTACTATGGGACTTTCATGTGTGCTTGCAGCTATAAGGATTATGCTAGATGTTTGTCCTCCTGTTGATCAATTTAGAGTATCCCGAACCACACTCCTATTTCAAGTTACTCAGCAATAAATTCTAAAATGACATCGCCTAGACTGAGACTGTATTGTTGGTGTGCATAGAACTGTGTCTGTGTCAGGCAGGCTCTGTTCAAGCAAGGGAGACCTGAGTATATTCTCAGCGGCCCCTCCGGGGGGTGAGCACTACATGCTAAAATAATTTTACAGTCACATATTGTGCCAATTGACACTGCCAGATGCAACATTGAGAGATTGCGTGCAGCGTTCACATTTTGTAATGGGACCCAATATACAAAATTTCATAATTAAAAAGTAAGATTATATACCGGTATTTTTATTACTTTCACTAATAAGTAAACAAAGGAAATATATTTAGATTCCCCAGAGGATCACCAATATCTGAGGATCTGCCTGATCCAGGTCAAATCTAGGCTTGGGGGTACCAAACAGCTCTTCTCTAATATCTAATTAAAATGTATTTTTTTTTTTAATACTAAATGACAAAGTCGAGTTTTACTTTAAAGTGACACTTAAAATGCTCCTAAACCCAGGGCCCTGCATTCACTATATCTGATCTCCCACAGTACACAGAACATGGAAATACAATTATTTTAGTAAATTTAAACTGCTAAATACCTTTTCTCATCAACAGTTGAAGCAGTCTCGTGACTTCTATCGGTGTCCAGCAGAGCACTGTTTAAAGCTTGTAGGATGAGTTTTCCTTCTCCTCTAGGAGTATGCAGGACCCCTGACCTCTGTCTGGACAGTGCTGATTGGCCCTGTGCTGATCAAATGCACTCTCCCGAGGAAAAAAAAAAAACCTCTTTAGCAATACACATCAAACTGAGCATGTGCAGAGTGACTCCAAGCCTATGTTCTATCAAGAGATATTTAGGGGGCAATGGAAGAAGGGGAGAATCAGAGAAGAGAGGATCAACCTTTTTATACAATGCAGAGGATTAACCCCTTATGTTCCACAGTGAGTTTAATAAGCATGCTTTACTGCATATACAGACTGATTTTACTGTTGTGGATTTAGTAACACTTTCATTCTGGCTTTAACCACTTGCCCTCCTGAGAATTTACCCCCCTTCCTGACCAGGCCATTTTTTGCAACATGAGGCTGCATTATTTTACCTGACAATTGCTCGGTCATGCAGCGCTGCACCCAAATTAAATTTGTGTCCCTTTATCTCACAAATAGAGCTTTCTTTTGGGGATATTTAATCGCCTGTGCATTTTAAATTTTTTGCGCTATAAACAAAAAAAGACAATTTTGAAAAAAAAAAAAAACAGTATTTTTGATTTTTTTCTATTAAACATGTTCAGTAAAAAAAAAAAATAAAAACCTGATTTCATCATAAATTTAGGTCAAAATGTATTTTGCTACATGTCTTTGCTAAAAAAAAAAATCCTAATACATGTAAATTAATTGGTTTACACGCAAGTTACAGCATTTGCAAGTGGCAGTGTATATATACTGAAATTTTTTTTTACTAGTAATGGCAGCGATCAGCGACTTGTAGCCAGACTGCGGCACTGTGGCGGGCATTCTGACACTGGGGGGGGGACTTACTGACTTGTTGTCACTGACATCCCCAGTGACACCGATACAGTGATCAGTACTAATAAAAAGCACTGTACTAATGGCACTGGGCAGGAAAGGGTTAACATGTGGGCCGATCAAATGGTTAACTGTGTGCTATGTGTGTGCTTTACACTATAAGCACACTGCTTTGTATGGCTCTGCTATGCAGAGCCATACAAAGCAGTGTGCAGGAGCTGACAGGGGAGATATCTGTGTTGTTTATACACAGGTCTCTCCCCCTTCGGTAATTCTCAGAGATCTCTGGGTACTGGCGGAGAATCACTGGCCGGGACACGGTGATTGACATCCGAGGCCACGAGTGGCGATGCTCCCACTTCCCGAAGCTGCAAAATCACACACATATATATATATATATATATATATATATATATATATATATATATATGTGCCGCCCTGTAGCAGTATTTCTGCTATAGGGAGGCGCAGAAGCGGTTAAACAAATTATTTCTATTCAAGTATGTAGTTTTAAATTTAACCTCCCTGGCGGTATGATTATGTCAGGAATTTTGTGCTGAAAGCGGTACCATTTTTTTGCATGGAAATATGTAGTTTTTTAATTGTAGGCTGTAATTTTTAGGAATAATTCACTGAAATCTGTCCGAAAAAGAGTCTATTAAACATTCCGGATATGATAAAACTTGAAACACGAAATCATAAATTATAATTTAATAAATAATCATAAAAAATAATAATATAATAATAATAAATTTAATTCAATAATATAATCAAACCAAAAACACTGAAATTTGAAATACAGAGGCAAATTCGCACATTGCTGAGCAAAGTCGCAAAATCGTTTTCAGTGTCTGATGACGAATTTCCCCACAAATCATTATCACTCAATTCTGCAAGTGATTCTGATTTACTATCGCTGTTCTAAAACCGCTTTTGACGTAAAGGGATGCTTTTTGGCCGCCATGGACTTTTCTAAGTTTCCAGGCAGAAAGAACAGTCAAAATGCAGGCAGGGCACAGGACAAAGCAGTAGGGACAAAATGTATGTGAAATGCAGTGAAAAAGCAATGACAGCAAAAATGTCATTTTTTAAAAATTTCAAATTTCCCGCCGGTTCCGCCGCCGCCCGAACGTTCCGACATCACAGGGACCGTAACACGGAAGCCAGATGCCGGCATCCGCCAGAGGAGATGGACGGGGACGCTGCAGGGGACCCATCGTGGGAGTGAAGGACAAGGTAAGTGCTGCAGGGACCCCCAGAGAACGCTGCATGGTAAGCCCGAGTGTAGCTCGGGGTTACCTGTTCTTGGTATAGAAATTCTACCCCGAGCTACACTCGGGAAAACTGCCAAGGAGGTTAAACAAGTCCCTTCTATTGCTCTCAGCTTCCTCCAAATCTCCAAATTCCTTTATTTTGCTGCTGTGATACAACTTCTTGTTAGAGGGTGTCTATGGCCATGGTCCCCTTGTACGTAGGAACATAGCCACCCTCTCCTGATCAGGAGTGGGATTTGGACTGTCAGAAGTGGGATTTGTAGTGTGCAGGGGTGGACTGACAACTCATGGGGCCCCCGGGCATAAGGGATCATGGGGCCCCTGTGTCCTCGCCCACACTCAAACCACACCCAAAAAAGCCTATGAAAGGTACCAGGGGCATCTCATGGGGCCCCCTACTGACCCTGGGCCCTCGGGCAGTGCCCGAGTGCTTGAATGGTCAGTCCGTCCCTGGTAGTTGTTGGGAATGCAACAGCATGTACTATATTGTACTATATATAGTATTGTGTGTTAATATCACTTGACCAGTAGATGGCACTATACACTAAAGGTTACTAGTTGTGTATATCTGAAAACTTGTTTGTTTCTTCTCTCTATCATCTCTTCAGGAAGTAATGTGTCTGTAACATGTCTGCTGTGAAATGTGCTCTGTATGTTTGTAACTTAAGCCACACAAGTAAAGCCTGAATTCTGCTATCACTACCAGTGTCTTCTATAACACATAACCAACAGTAGTGTGCAAACAGCAGTGTACATGATCTCAACTAATGTCCGAACAAATGGAAGTGAAGGGGAAAAGAAAGCTTTGGGGGCTCACAGAGGATGTTAAAAGAAGGCAGAAAAACATAGTAAGAATTTCATAAAAAATGGATTACAGGGCCATTAAGTAGTGAATGTATTATTATTTTTGGAGAATACGGTTATCGTTTAGTGTCACTTTAACAGATTTTCCACAATTGTCCTCGGTGACAATAGACCAGCTAAATGCAGAACTTCATTCAAAGCAATGCTATAATTTGTGTTTTGCAGTTCTTTGGTTGGCAGTGTTTATTCATCATACACTCTGTCAGCACACATTATTTTCCTTACCTTCATTTTCCTCCAAATATACCATTATCACCATTGTTATGCCAATTACTTAACGCAGCTTGCCTGAATGGCATGTTTTGAAGAGGGAGAATTGGAATAATATGGGCAGAGTTTTATCATTTACATTGTAGCGAGATTGTCTAGTGAAGTGTATTCAAAACTGAGTGCCAATTACCAGCTTTGTTTTCCTCATTTCCTGTCAAAAAAAATCTCCCTGAAATTGAATATTTAGGTCAAATAGAAATGGCTGTGTTAGCTACGTTAACCATTTAAAGGGACACTCTGGGTATAACAGACACCTACTGAATTTTTTAAGACACTATAATATCTCTTCTTTTTGGTTGGATTTAATCCTTGTCTCCAAACTAAATTGTTAAGATTAAATTAGAACTAAACTCTTTCAATGAACATTAACTATTTTTAATCCTTAGGCTGCTACAGTAGTATTAGAAAATAGATAGGAAAGATATGTTATGTTTACTTCTTTTACATTATTTTACATTTCTTCAGTGACTTTCTAGTTTCTGGCTTAGGCCAAAATTATGGCAAACATCCAAGGAGTCTTCAGGAGTATATTTTTTCTTTCATCTGAAGGAGGGGAGGAGGGATTTTCTCAATGAAGCATGTTGGAAGGTTCAGCTTATTGCCCACTAGGACCCCCTAGGGGACAGCAAGTCAATTCAGTTGTATGCTTAAAGGGGAAGTATGGCCAAAGCTCTTTTGGCTCTACTTCTCCTATGGATCATAGGAGTGCACTTCATTCTGTACTCTTGTGACTCATATTTAGCCAACAGCAGGCTAAAGACTGTTGACTGATTTCATTCGCCGGTCCAGACTGTGGAGGGATCCCTACTTTAATGTTGGGATCCACCCAGATGCCTGACCTGTAGCTGGCTCAGCCTTTCGGGCACACCACTGAGAGCCTGAGCCAGCTGCTCCTGCCCCCTCCACAGCCTGATGCTCCACTGAGCACTGGAGGGGCAGAGCAGAGCTCTGGTGACTGGCAGTCAGAAGCTGTCTGCTCACTGAAGACCAAAAACTGAACGGTCAGACCGGAGACCACTTCCCACTATAGGCTCCACATACTTACAGAAGGATCGTATCTTCTACTCAGTCATTGGTTAGGTCTGTTCCTACCTGTCCCAACACATGACTCTGAAGCATTTTAGGAAAGTATTGCTTTGCACCTCTAAATAGACTCCGCCCTTTGGCATACAGGGAAGCCACCATACTTCTCTTCGCAAGGCCTAACTCACTGTGACCTCAGGCTTCGTCGATGGGTTACGTAAACTGATAGACAGGGCTAATTAGGTTTGTTGCAAGCTGGCTGGTAAGTGAGCTGGAAATTTTTGCTTGTTGTTTTTTGAAATGTGTTGTCCTTCCATGTACTCCATGCTGCAAAGGCCAGTTATAGGTTGGGGTGGTTGCCATTTGTTTGTACTGTTGGCAAATTGGTGAGGGGACATACTGGATAACTTTGCTGCCATTGTGCTATTGCTGGGTGTACATTGCACCCCTATACCTGTAAGGAGGGGTGGGCTCCTTCCAGGCATACCTGCCCTCAATCTATCCATTAGTATATATGTGCTCCAACTCAGGAGACTCTCAAATTTCAGAGTTAGGACGGCAGTACACTGGGGTGCTGTGACGTGGCCTCTGCAGCTTACCCATATATTTTCAAATGTGTGCAAACTAAACCTCCTTTTTTTTAACGTGAACTGTTAGACAGGGTCAATTTTGTTATGTTGCAGGCTGGCTGGTAAGTGAGCTGGGAATTTTTGTTTGTTGTTTTTTAATCATTGCGGCGGCTCCAACTGTCACAGGATCTGGCATGCGTTCCACAGTGCTTCTGTCTTGCTACCGGTATACCAGAAGTGATGTCAGAGCCAATCGGATCTGCATTTTTGTTAACCATCCTCCTGAGGAAGCCTATTGGTGAAATGCATTGGAGCAGACCTGATTGGCTCTGACATAATTTTTGGTTTACCGATAGCCAGACGGAACCATTGTGGAACACATGCTGGCTCCTGTGATTGTAATAGAGGCTGCAATCCCTGTAAATGATTAAGCCTGACTATGTGCCAATAGCTTTATAGGCACCAACGAATGTGAGTGCACTGTTTGTCTTATACTTTTTTAAAAAGGAGTTTTTAATGATTTTATGCGATGAATCCGTTTCTGTCTCCTCCTTGTTACCCTGTGATTAGAGCCCTGTAGATCTAGGGGAGAGGAGAATCATATCCCATATCTCAATGAGCATGTTTGACCTTTGTTTAGTTATGATGGTTCAAACTTTTTTGGTGAGTTTGCCCTGTCCAGGGGGTGTGCATAGGATTCTTGACACTTTTCACAGTGGATGGAACACCAGTGAACTTTCTATTATGTGTGGAGCACTTGTTTGGAACTTTGAATTGTGCCAAACAACAGCATATTATTTGAACTAACAATTTATGGGGGTAGAGCACATTGGATGGATGGTGAATTGAACACTGCGGTGTAATTGCACTGGACTTATTTTGGATTTGTTTTTCCAACATATCACATTTGTGCATATTTTTAATTATTTTTGGAATTAGCACTGTTTTATTCATATTGCATTTTGCTTTAGTTTGTATATTATTCCACATTTATCACATTTGCATATAGTTTTAGTTATTAGGGTTTTCTTACTCAAGATGGTCGTGACTAGAAATGCTACTGGGGTGTTTTTTAAAGTGATTTTTCAACAAAATAAAGTATAGAGACATGGATGAATGGGGGAGTTTGCTTTGAATTTTAAAAAATTAATTAAATAGCCCTATCAGCTTGTGATGCTCAGATAAAGTTTTGTTTTGATTTAACACCA